CCTTGCATGTAAGGTACCCGCTACATGTACCAGTCAGTACACAACCTGGCTACGTTAGTGTGTTAGCGTATGCGCAATATATCACCAGAGGAGTTATATTTTGTGAGGAATATGCATTTAATCTGGTTAGTGGGTATCTCAGCCTAGATTTATGAAAGTATTTTTTTTTTAGTGGACCTGTGTTTATAATTGGGAGAGCGCCCTAGCCCGTAGGGTGCTAAACTACTACTTCATTCCCTTCCATCCTCCACCTTGCCTCCATTGTCTCTCGCTACGCATCCTTCTTTTTCTACCGCCCCTCATCTATCTTCCCTGCCGCCTTTCCTCAGTCTTCCAGTCCTCTGTCCCTCAGCAAGATATATTATATGCAGTGTATTTCGGTCCGTACTGAACGCCTTCAACTCTGCTCGCGCATGCGCATTATCTCCCGAGAAGAACAATATTTTGCAAAGATTATGCATTTAACCTGAAGAGGAGTTATCCTAGCATAGATTTATATGATAAAATTCCATCAGTAGACATCACTTAAGAAATGGGGAAAAACCTTGCATATAATGTATACGTTGCATATGCCAGTCAGTACACAATCTGGCTACGTGAGTGTTAGTGCATGCGCAATATATCACCAGTGGAGTTATATTTTGTAATGTATTATATGCTTTTAATATGGTTATGTGGTATATCAGCATAGATTTATGTAATAAATTTTTTTCAGTGGACCTGTATTTATAATTTGGAGAACGCCCTAGCCTGTAGGGTGCCAAACTACTACTTCATCCCCTTATACCCTCCCACTTGCCTCCATGTCTCTCTGTGGCGATGAAAACTGATGTTGCGCTGTGGAGTTTATAATTGGGAGAGCACCCTGGAGTGAGTACATAAGCTGTATTTACGTCTATAGATGCAATTTATGATATATTGATGTAATACTATGACCATTTAGCTGCTATAAACACCACTATTTGAACTTGTGGGTGCTAGCTGCTTGTTCTTCTTATTATTATTATCACAATTATATCATTATCATTGTCGGCTGAGCAACGTTGAAACAACCTAAAAGTAAAAGCAAGAGAAGAACAGAATAAATTTTCTTACACGAAAATTTCCAGTCTTTTATTATTACACAGATTTTGTGATAGGATATACCAGACAGTATGATACTCTTGAACAGGTATTGTATTTATAAGAAAACAATAGTAGTATTGGGAGGCACCAAACAGCATGGCTGGTAAATCATTGTCTATTTGACACAAATGTATGGTAGGTATACTAGAAATGCAAATCAATTGTGCTCATGACAGTTTTCATTGTATGAGCATGTAGCATCAGCAGACCTTTTTGCCTTACACGTAACCGCATTTAACACGATATACAAACACACAGATCACACGAGACGCGAACCGTCAGCAAATAAGCTACTAGACGGCGGTTTCTGCGTCAGATTTCACGAAAACAAACGGCGACATCCTGTACAGTGCGAGAACGACAACGACACGCGGTCTTCCGCAAACTTCCCGGTTCTCTGCAAACTCACCGGTCCTCCGCACACTCTCCGGTCCTCCGCAAACTTCCCGGTTCTCTGCAAACTCACCGGTCCTCCGCACACTCTCCGGTCCTCCGCACACTCTCCGGTCCTCCGCACACTCTCCGGTCCTCCGCAAATTCTCTGGTCCTCCGCAAACTCTCCGGTCCTCCGCAAACTCTCCGGTCTTCCGCACACTCTCCGGTCCTCCGCACTCTCCGGTCCTCCGCAAACTCTCCGGTCTTCCGCACACTCTCCGGTCCTCCGCAAACTCTCCGCTCCTCCCTCCGAATCTCAATGCACGTGCCTCGACGTCCTCGGGCGGCATATCGAGACGCCGCTACGCCGTGTCCATGGCGACGGGCTTGCCCGCCTCCCACTTGTGTCCCTGCTTCTCAAGCTCGGCCCGCAGCTGCTTGCTGAAGTCTTCCTCTACGTTGTCGTCGTCCCAGTTGTCCTCCCAGACGTTCACGTCATCCAGGTCCTCCTCCTTCGCCGTCCAGTCCTCCGCCGGGAACTCCTCAAACTCGTCGTCCTCCTCCAGGAGGCCTGCAAGGACAAGCGGGAAGTGATCGTCCGGATATAGTTCGCTCATAGTTCGGGAGCACCTCACCAAGTAGGGATTTTTGTGTGCGCGCGTCGGCGCGGGGGTTTGAGGGGGCAATGTGGAATGTGGTATCGTATGGTAATCGCGACTTCGGTGTTACACTGGTACACCACCAGCAGTGCAAGAAAGACTACTACTGGTTATAATATGAGCATTATAGATGACATCTAAGATGTAGTAACAATTAAAATTGAGACCAACTGTGAGTGTGAAGCCATTTGTGATTTAAATTGGAATGCAACCATGCATTTATCCTGACTGGTCAGCCCGTGTGCAAGTTACGTTCATTATTAACTGCCCACATGTAAAAGCTCATGTACAGACACGTTTGGCTATGTGTAATCGCTTGATTTGTAAGTGTAAACTGAGTGAATATCAAAATACAAATACTACTACTAGGCCTAGTCAAAATTGAAATACGCTTCGTCACTCACAGACACAGTCACAGTTACAGATAACTAACGCAAATAACCAACCGCAAAAACAGACAAGACGATGAAAACACGGTAGGGCCTATATATCGCGAACTAATATGATAGACACTAAACTTTTAACTAAATAATAAGTTTAAAGTAGGCAATTTTACACACCCAAATCGACTTTCTTTGAGTTAGAAATCGTCGTTTTCCCGGTGTCAGCCATGTTGGTACTGAGTGATTATTGCCGGAAGCGGAAGCGGAAACTACGCAATTGGGAGCCCTACGGCGCATGCTCGATCTTCAAATCGCCATTATATTAGAAGGTTTACATGATGTAGGAAAGTTGCCGGCAAATTGATTTTTGTAATGTATATTTCGTGATATTTTATATACAAAATAAACTTCAGCGATGGAGTCACTGATTCCTATTATTAACAAGCTCCAGGATGTCTTCAATACAGTTGGAACAGACATCATTCAGCTGCCTCAAATTGTTGTTGTTGGAACGCAGGTTAGTCAATGAAAACCACCGTAAATTTCCCGAAAACCTTTCAAACATCCTCGAATAACGAATACCTTTATTAGATGAATGGTACTTCGTATTTGTGTGAACAGTAAAGTTCACGTAACAAGTACGCAACCGTGCTTTTTGTTACATACTTTTGTTTTTTTCATAGAGAAGACTCCAGTCTAACTTACTTTTTTCCTGATTACATTTACAGAGTTCAGGGAAAAGTTCTGTCCTGGAGAGCCTTGTAGGACGGGACTTCCTGCCACGTGGAACGGGAATCGTTACACGGCGCCCTCTTGTACTGCAACTGGTGCACGTCGCGCAAGAGGACAAAGATGCCCTACGGTCATCTGAAATGGGTAGAGAATATGTCCATGGCATTCTGTTAATAGCACACAGACACACATGTCGAAAAACTTGATCAATGGGCGTGTTTTGTTCCTGGGATCATACACAAACTCAGAGCAATCACTATTCTAGTAGCATTGAATACATGTGCAATTCTACTGTGGGATCTCTATTTATACGTCATCAACATTCCAATTCAACGCCATTACCCTCTCCGTAACTATAACCCTAACACTAACCCTACGAGGTGCAATGCCTATGAGGTCCTTGTACATGCATCCTAATTATGATACGTCATTACTCTAACCATGAGCCTAACTTCTAACCCATAGACTATAACCCCTCAACCCATAAGCCTAACCCTTACCTAATTCCAACCCAAGTGTGGCAGTTAAAATTAAGACAGATCCTCGATGTAGTTGTTGGATTCAGATGCAGTTGAAGTATTCCCTTTACTCAGGTGTTCCGGCTGATGTGGAAGAATGGGGAAAGTTCCTCCACACCAAGAACAAAATCTTCACAGACTTCGACGAGATCTGCAAAGAGATCGAAGCGGAAACAGATCGACTGTCCGGTGCCAACAAGGTAGTTCAAGTCCCATGTAGAGGTCCAGGGTTCTGCTCAAATCCAGGGTTCAAGTTGGTGCCCACCACCTATACAATTTACAATTACAAATAAGGAATATTTGCTATTGTTTTACATGAATGAACGACTTTGTTACTGAACTAATAATTTTACTACAGAATTTAATTATTTTACGAACGACCTATTGATATTCGTGGCGACCACGGTTCACCCATGCCGTATATTAACACGTTACCTTACCTTCCCAGGGTATCTGCTCGGAGGCGATCAATGTAAAGATCTTCTCACCTCGCGTACTCAACCTCACGCTCGTCGATCTACCGGGATTGACCAAGGTATGGCTTACCACGCGAAACACTGGAATGCGAAACACCTATCTATAAAGAATGCTTTTGGCATTTTCCTTGCTTGGCAATTATACATTCAATCTATAGAACTTTTCTACGGAACAGACACTTGTATATAAAAAACGCTTTGTATGTTCCTTAAATATCAGTTATACAGTGAAGCCACCTCTATAGAGCAGACACCTGTCTATAAAGGACGCGTGGCTTGTCCATTGAATATCAATTACACAGTGAAGCCACCTCTATAGAGCAGGCACCTGTCTATAAAGGACGCCTGGTTTGTCCATTAAAGTTGTGCAGCCTTACAGTGAAAGTCACCTCTACAAAACAGGCACCAATCTATAAACGACAAATTAGCGTTTTCCCGAGCGGAGCGCCTTATACACAGTGACCCGCCGCCGGTTCTCTTGTCATTAGCTTCGGTCGGCGCACCAGTCGCGCAGACAATCGAGGCTGCAGATCCGGGAGATGGTGATGCAGTACAAGCGTGCAATCCAAAGATCTCCATCATCCTCGCAGTCAGCGGCCGCCAAAGCACGGACATGGCGACGTCGGAAGCCAATCAGAGCTAAGCGAAGCAGGGTCGACCCCGCCCCGCCGGACGGTAGCCGGATCCGCCACCTTCTTTCTCCTCCTTTCCCTCTTCACCCCA